ATCATGTTTTTCTTTCGTTACATTTTTTGCACTTTAAGAATCCAGGTTGTATACCGGGTGACCCAAACGTCGGGTGGTTTAATTTTTAAAAATCGGTGGATTCCTTTTTAATGATTCGTTTTTTTTGCACATCATTAATAAGTTTCTGCAATTGAATTTTTGGATATCTTAAAGTGTTAATTTGCAATCAAACTTGTTATTTTTTTAGTTTTTATAAAATAAACCAGGTGAATCACTTGAGCGACTTTAAGGTAGAAAAAGCAACGCTCGGATTATAATAATTGAACTAACTCAAGAATGATTGAAGCTATCACACAAACAATTAGCTAAATATCAATAAATCTGCTAAAAACGAATAGAGCAAAACACGCTTTTAAATTTCGGGAAAAGGCGCAACTTGCAACTAAACTAACTTTCACAATTTGATTGATGTATTCTGTATTAAAAATCCGCAAAAATTTCCTGCTGTTTTCCATGAAAATTCGCTTACTTAGAAAGAAATTCTTACCGTCCGTTGAGTATATTCATACCCATCAGGGTTCATATTAGGGGCAATAACCCAATCAACGTTCTGATAAAGGGCAGCATTTGAACTATTCTGAACAAGCTGATAGAGAATATACAGGGCCACTGTTGGAGCTATCCATTCTCTACAGTGGATTCCTGCATCGATCAGAATTGTTGGCTTCGCCACCGCTGTTTCACTTTCTCCGCTTGATATTCTAGAAAATTACTTTATTCAAACCGTTTTTTGAGGTTTTTCTTAGACTCACTTTAAGGCCAGTATGTCTCTGCCTTCATATGATTGCCCGATCAGTTCCAAAGTGGTTATATCCGGGTAATCAGTAGCCAATCTTCGAACATATGCCATTTGCTATAGAAAATTTAAAAAAATCGAATATTTCCTATGTTATTGGCCTGGAAACCTGTTTACCTCGTTATAGAGCATAAAACTGCTGAATGTAACATCGCCTATAGAAAGCCCTGATCTGGTTAAAGATCTTTCGATTTTTTCCTGCCGAAGAACTCTAAACAAAAAAAACACGAGTTAAGTTAGAGCGGAAACACGCACTTTTGTGTCATGTATATTGCAGAAAAGTTGAATGACTAAACTTTTGAAACAAAGGAAGTTAAAAGCAATTGTAGATAAAAAAAAATTATAAACCAAAAACGAATTTTCTGGTGCAATTTTCAAAAACAAATCAGTAAATCTGAAAAGCAACGAGTTGTAATTTTTATCTGTTTACGAATAAAACTAGTTCAGGTCTTTCATTTGGTTCGATGATACAAATAATCAGACAAACCTTTTTTAATTAGAATTGTTGTAAAACACACAAAAAAGCCAGTTTTTAACTATAAAAACTGCTACTAAGCAGAACTTCGAGTGGATAACAATTGACAGAAAACCTTATTTTGAGGCAAAAAGATCTTGAAAAAAATTTGATTATTTTCTTGCGTTCTTTGCTTCGCTAACTTCTAAAAAATGCAGTTCACAAGTTTTATTTTTTGGTTCAATTAAGATMGGTTAATAGGGAGAAGCATTTTTTTTTGCAATTTGAAATGCCCACAATGAATTCACTATATTTTCAAAACCCTGCACCGAAGAAAATGGTAGTTAGCACTCAAAAACTATTTTTTCTTAAGTAATACTTACTCCTCCACATCTTCAGCCACCACAGCGTAGCCGAGACCATTCCTTGAAAGATTTTCTTCAAAACCCCCTTGATCTTCGGGTGCTACCATTATTTGACTGGGTTTACCAACAATTCTGCCTTCCCTCCAGAAATCGTACTTGGGATCTTCTGATAACGTGTGCACAATATCTGTTTGCTTTTTCGTCATTGGAACCACCTCATAAACCTTGTATCTGAAAATTTAAACTTTGAGTTGAAATTAAAGAAATTCAGATGTGTAAWGTTTATCAAGAGTGAGCTTTTACTTAAAACTGTTGGATTTTTTCCAATTTGCTGATATTTTTACTGTTTGAATTTACAAATATTTTTTTTTGCAAAATATTCACAATAGAAGCAGGAATAAACGCCTTTTGAARATSTTGACCTTAAAATTAAAATAAGGCAGTTTTTTGAACTGTAGTAAAATCTTAATTTGATGACTTTTATTTCAAATTTTCAATGTGTCTAAAGAAGTGAAGAATCGCKTTTCCTCAAATAAATGAAAAACTAAAACTGGTATCGAAGGATTTACAGCGACATTTTATTAGCCTTTCAATTGCCGAACTTAACTTCTAACTTCCATAAACCATCTTTGTAAAATTTCCGATTAGAAAAAAAGGGGGAGTTTTTCGGGATTTCACTCAAGCTTAGGAAGCTCAACAGTTTCATCTTTAGAAGGTTTTTTTCGGGATTTTAAGCTGAAATTCTCGGAGTTTTTTTTGTTTCTTACCCATGGTAATTAGTGGCGATTATCGCGCTCAACTGCAACAGCACAACGAAGCAAATTATATCTAGTTTACTGCACTTCATTTCTTCAATCAGCTTAAACTGTGCTAAACAATGATTTCAGGCTGCAATAATAACCGAATCCTGTTATCTTCTTATATGGCGTCTTGGAGCTTTAGATTGAAAAATTCCTTTATAGCCAAATATAATGATGGGGAATAAAACGATTAATCAATTTATTAGAACATTAGTTTAATGCGTGTTTAATATAATTGTGAAATATGGATCAATCAATGGATTTCAGGGTTTGCGTCGTCAACTTCAACATCTTGATTGGTCCAGAAATTTTCCTCGATGTACGCGTGGAAGGCTTTCACTCCTTCGAAAGTCTCGCGTACTGCTGGCAAGATTTGTCTGGCAGGAATCATGAAGAAGAACGGGGCATCTGAAAATCAAGTTATTCTTTTAAGCCCTAAACTAGTTAAATTAGTACCTACTAACCGCCATCAGGTAGTTCCACGCAATAGGAGAGATCCACTTTTCCTTCAGCTTTTACCCAATCGTCGCTTCCTCCAGCCGCTTCGTAAAGAAGAATAGCTGAACTGTTGACTCTGTATTGGGAATTGATGGTACTGGCTTGATCAATAGCTGTAGCCGCCAGCTGACCCACATAATGTAAGTCTTCGTGATTTTCCGGCAGTTCCGGTGCATATCTACAGGGTGAGCAAATAGTTGGTGATTAAGCTAGCTGAATTTCGTAGGCAGTACCCCCAAGGATAGAGCATCATTTCCCCATAGCTATGGAAGGAGAGGTACAGTTGCAGGTTCTCGCCATTGGCCAGAACCCAATCTCGGATGGCTTGTGATTCTGGTTCGGAAAATGCTTCTGGCCCGGCGTAAATTTCTGAGCAGGAGTCCTGAGAGGCTCCTGCATGCATCCAGTAGTATCCAAAGTTGCGGTTCAAGTCTGTGCCTATACACTGCGCTCCTTCAGTTAAGCGCCGATTTTTCCTCCACAGGCGATTCTAAACAAGAGGATTTTTTAACACATTTGTGGCTTAACCGACGATATTTGCCCCATTTAAGACTAAAACTTGGGGAAGTTGTTTTGGTCGAGAACTTTCAATTCTAGTTGATTTTTTTGCTGAAAATAGTCTTACGTTGCTTTGTGTAAATTCGTATCCATCGGGGTTCAAATTAGGCACAATGTACCAGTCTACATTCGCATACATATGGGCATTGGCACTGTTTTGAACCAATTGTTGAATGATATACAGGGCGACCGGTGGCGCAATCCACTCCCTGCAGTGAATTCCTGCATCAATTAGAATCCCCGGTTTTGGCGTCGAGGTTTCACTTGGACCACTGGATATTCTAAATAGCAAACCCCCAATCTGAATAATCGCAAATTGTTCCTAATAGAGTGTTACTTGCTTCAGCATCAGAATATCTCGACCTTCGTAAGACTCGCCTATTTTCTCTACAGTGGCTATGTTGGGGTAGTCGGCGGCCAATCGTCGCAGGTAGGCCATATGCTGGAAAATCACCATTTTCGATGAGAAACTTAAAATTTTCGAAAAATGACCTGGATTACCTCACTGTGGCGCATGAAGCTGGAAAATGTGACCTGTCCGGGAGCAAGCATTGTTCGCGTCATTGATCGTTCAATTTTCTCTTGTTGAATTAGTCTGAAATGCACAGGAATTATCGCAAAGATTTGAAATAATTAAATTAATTAATTGATTTAAATTATCGTTAGACATACGTCCAAATTATCATGGCTGCCGAGTTTCCATTCGTTAACAGCTCGTTACTCGTGTGGCTCCGTCGAAACAGTGTCAAAACTTTTTCCGCTTTGGGGCGGAAAATTGCTGTTTTTTCGGAAAAGGAAGTTCCCGTCCCCCATTCTGTGGGATTTTCTGGGTCGCCAGTGCATTTTTTTTAGCAAAAGACGAAAATTCGTTAAATGGAACTTTCTGACGTTTGCTGTCAAACGCTGCGCAATGATTGAAATGTGTCTACTCAAGCTAATGCTGAACGCTTTTGACATTAAAAGAGTGCCAGAAACTGTAAAATTATTTGGAAACGAGAAATGAACAATTCAAAGGTAAGTAAGTGCGACTTTCCTTAAACATTAATCCTTAAAACCCCATAAATATGGTTTTCCGCATAATATTCTGTTTTTGTATTTTTATACCTTTCAACGTTGTCAATTACAATGCTGTAATCAAAAAGGTTTCTGGTCAGGTTTCTTTCAAAGGCCGGTTGGTCTTCAGGTGCCACCATAATATCGCTGGGGTCTCCAAGGAGATGACTTTCCTCCCAAAAGTCGAATTTCTCCTCATAGTGATACGCATTGAGAATTTTCGCTTGTTCTAGAGTGTTTGGAGTTACGTGGTAGACTTTATAGCTAGAAAAAATCATGTTAAAAGTGCGGAGTTAACAGGGAAAAAGTTATATTTGATAAACCCGTTTTTCCAAGCTTAGATTTTTAAAATTCTGAAGAGTTTTCGATATTTTTTAAATTGGCTTTATGGTGTCTACTGCATTTCAAGTATTAGTTCAAAAAGTCCTTTACAAGAGTAAGAAACTTATCATTTAGTGGAAGCTCTTGTAGCTTTAAATTGTATACTTTATACTCGTTCTGCTTTGAATCTCTGCCGTGAAATGCAAGCGGCGTTAAACAAATAAAAAATAATAATAAAAAATAAAACGTATCCAAAAACTTTGTGGTTGTTAGTAAGCAATAAAAGAACTTTGGGCTAAATTAATTAAAATTGAATAATTACATTCAGGTCATTTTTCGTTGCCAATTCTTGTCAAACTTACCCCTCGAAACTTGTACCTTCACATGCTTTTAGGGCGAACAGAGCAATAAGCAGCAGTAGCAGTGGCATGATGCTTAATCGCTCTTTATTACACTTTCTTAGCGTATTATTTGGTAAAATTAGCAACTGAAATGATCGTCTTATCTCGATTTTATGACGAATTAGCTTTATGGGTGTTCATAAACCATTTCTCCAAAGCAGCTGTATATTGGAATAAGCTCTATTGTAAATCAACCAAATGAAATTCTTGGCTTTGAATGGATGATGAATTGTTTTTCACATTATACAATTGCTTTATTTTATTCTACAGTCGTTTCTTTAGCTCGATCCCCCTTTATTCAGAATATGCTCAGGCTCAGAGTTTGTTCGCTCTATGATAGTTCATACAATATGTATATGTCCGGATTTCTACTGCTGTCATTGTGTCTCCACATTTTTCTTTTCTGACTCATTTCCTCGTTTAAGTTCTTTGATTTCATTGTATCATCCCCGCCATTCCTCCAGCTCTTAGCATTTTTCTGGCTCTATGTTGTCCCATTCTTTTTGTGTGTCCGAACCAACTAATTATTTCTTTTCGACCTCATCCAAAAGGTGTTTAAAATGTTGAGTCCACTGTGAGTGTGTTATAGATTGAGACTAGTTCCTTGTTCGCACTGCTTTTATTGTTTTCCTAGCTACTGAACGACGTGTTCAAATCATTGGCTCTTCAGTACTTTTGCTTTTACCTTTCTGTTTGCTTGCGTATTTTCTCTACTTGGGCTAAGTTAAGTTTAATTCGAGTCCCCCGATTATTCACTTCACTATAGGCGACTTCACAAAATTCACAAATTTATTTGTAATGCATGTCTGTTGACTTTGTTCTTCTTGCAAAATGCAGGCGTCTTGATTCACTTTATTGCTAAGCCAATCCCTTTATATCTATATGCTTGAAGCAGCATTGACTTCGGTTCTTAACATATTACTTTTGAAATTTGCATCTTCAGTTAGTTGAAAAAAATATTCACTCCTTAGAGCAGACAGGTGCACATTTTCAATTACTTTAATAAAATCCTGACTACATGCATGTGATTGAAAGTCCCTTAGTTACTGATTTACGTTTATTTCAAGCCTGAAAAGACACTCAAACAATATCATCCATGGTATCTTAAAAACAGTTACACTGGGAAGCTCCTCAGTACGTCGCTTACAAAGGAATCCTCACTTAGATCTAGCTCGCGCAGTATGCCAGTAGTTGTTGTTGTGGTAGAAGTAGTCGTAGGAGAAGTGGAAGAAGTACCTTCAGTTGACGAGGTGCTTGCAGACGAAGTACTACTTTCAGGCTCATCTACCGAAGAAACTGTGGTCGTTGTGGTTGAAGTCGTGGTTGTTATGCCGGCAACAAACTTTTCTTCTACATATTCGTACAATGCTCTAATGCCAGCCCACGTTTCTTCAACTACTGGGCGAATTTGTCGGGCAGGAAGCATGAACCACCAGGGAGCATCTGAATAGGCAAGAAGAAGTGAAACTATAGCCTAAAAAATTGCCGCTTTTATACCTCCGTTGGGTAATTCGAAGATGTAGCTGAGATCGACTCCCGCCTCTGCCTTGACCCAATCAGTGGTAACACCGGCAGCTACATAGAGACCAATAGCTGAATTATTAACGGTGTACTCAGAGCCGATTACACTGGCTGCTTCAATCGCTTGCACTGATCGCAGCCCAACCGCATAGAGTTCTTCAGTGTTATCGGGAAGCAATGGCGCATAGCTAAATAATTCAGGAATGATTGGTTGGATCATCAGTAGCTGGAGCCGTTACTTACGACCATGGATAGAGCAACAGCTCACCGAAACTATGGAACGAGACGTAGAGTTTAATGTTGTCCTTGTGGTCCAAGATAAAGTCTCTCATCGCTCGCGCTTCCGGCTCAGAAAATTCAGAAGGGCCGGCGAAAGTTTCTGAACAAGGGTTGCTTGATGCTCCTCCTACCATCCATTGGTAGCCAAAGTTTCTGTTCAGATCAGTGCCGTAACATTCAGCCCCGTCAGTTAGACGGCGATTTTTTCTCCATAAACGATTCTGAAACAAAGCGTCCGGGTTGGTTGGTCACAAGAACAGAAAAGGAATTTGGATCAGTGTAAAAACAGGCTTTTGTTTCCTTTCTGAGTCGTGTGTTTTTGATAATGAATTTAATTTTTGTTTGCGGACAAATGAATCTACTCACAACAGTGGTAGTGTATTGGTATCCATCTGGATTCAAGTTGGGAACAATGTACCAATCAACGTTTGCGTATAGAGCGGCATTGGCAGTGTTTTCCACCAATTGTTGGATGGCATATAAAGCCACTGGCGGTGCGATCCATTCCCTGCAATGGATACCTGCGTCGATGAAAATTGCTGGTTTCGGTGAACTTGTTCCGCTGGACCCACTGGATAATCTGAAAAGTTTTCATGGTTTAAAAGTGTTTGATCCAGACTTGGATTCTTTACTTTAATATTAATATATCGCGGCCTTCATGCGATTGCCCGATGGATTCCACTGTTACGTTGTTCGGGTAGTCTTGGGCTAGGCGTCGAAGATAAGCCATTTGCTGGAAATTAGGGATGTTTAGGTTTCGAGTTGGAAACTTGTGGTTTTCCTACCTCTTCCAGCAGCATGTAGTTGGTGAAAGTGACCGATCCAGGCCCCAGAGCAGATCTGGCCATGCTGCGCTCAAACTTTTCTTGTTGCAAAATGCTAAAACATCATATTATCTTTTAATGTTGTAAATAGTTGGTTGGATAAAGTGCTTGAGTTTATCGATCAATAAGCAACGGGAGAAAATTAAGCACAATTTTTTCTTCGTGCAAGAAATTGACCGATGAATATTTTAATCTCTTTGCAATTTCTCAATTACCTTTCGACATCTTCAACTACCACCTGGTATTTCATTCCGCGATTGGCCAGCTTTTGCTCAAACTCTTGCTGATCCTCCGGAGCAACCATAATGTCGGTGGGTTCTCCCAGTCGCTGCCCTTCCCTCCAAAAATCGAATTTTTCATTGCTGAACGCGTGCAAGTACTCGGCGTCTTCTAGAGATTCTGGAGTGATTTCATAGAGTTTGTATCTGTAAACGTTTATGGATCACCAGCCGTTCTTGTCATCTTCTAGATAATAAAAGTGCGATTGATTAATGACGCAACTATTTTACGGACTTTTATGGCCACATTAAGACCAGACGATCAGATTAATTGAATTATGACGCTTTAAGGGCTTGAATTTGAACATTTTTTCAATTCTTCTAGCGAATGATCTTCATGTCGATGGATTACGAGCACTTTTTTCGGGGTCTTCAGATTAATCGGTCAATGTGCTTGGAAAGTGCTGACTGCTCTGAAAGTTTGAACATTTCTGACTAGGTTTTTTCCTGGAAAACTGGGCCAATTTAAAAAAAACAGTTTTTTTGTAAAAAAACTCAATTTTTCAGTTGATATATTTAGTTCATAAACGATAAACATTAACGATAGTTGGATGATTTTATTGAAATGTTCTCATACCTATTGTAAATATATATTTAAAAATGGTTAAATTAACATCGCAGAATAAGCATTATTCAATGTAAATATAAGTGGTTTTTAATAGTCCATTAGGCACTTACCCCCTGTGGCTAAAGCCGTTGCAACCGTTCAAGATTAAGCTGAAAACAAGGAAAATGTTTGTGATCGCAAACGCACTCATCTTGCCGCCGGTATCAGTTCAACATGGCCCCATTAGATCCTTCTAGGCCCTATTTATGACCTCTTTTATCTGCTAATTTTCCTAAATCCACATTTAATTCGCCGTAAATTTCTAAAACCTTGTATACACAATAAGGATGGAATTCAATTCAGTTGTCATTGCGTTTATAAATTTGATCCGATTAGGTATATTTGATGTCTTGACCCGTGGAATGTTCTTATTCATTTCACTTTATTGTTTTAAATTTGTTATATATCGAGATGGAAAATTGTAACAAATTGTATGCGCCTCAAGTGTGTAAAATTATCCATTAAATTTTACCAATTTTGCACAGTTCAATCAACATTTGGCAAAACAACTACTTCAAAATGAAACTTTTACCGAATGCAAACCAATCCTTTCTGGAATGATTTAAAATCAAATTTCTGCTTTTGACTGATTTAAAAACAATTAAATTTTAAATCAACAGAAAGTATCTTAGTTTATTTTTCAAAATTTCTATTGCAAAGACAAACATTATACAGGCACTAATTTGAAATAATTAAAATGTAATTAGTACAGGAAATACTTCTTGTAGAACAATAAAAAGTAAAATGAGAAAAATTGCTTATATTATACATCAGAGTGGATTAGTTGAAACAATAATGTTTAGCGCGTTTGCAAGATAAACATTTAATATGCCTGGATAAGATCCGAAAGCTTAAAAGCGGTTTAAATTTAACTTAATAAGCTTTTATTAATCATCACAATAAATTAAGAGCAACCTCGAAGATTCTAGCGCTAATAATTGTTATCTTCCAGAAAAGAATCCGCTTATTATCAGCTTACAAAATACCGAGTGTCTTAAAATTGCTTCAAGTTCAAATTTGAAGCACTTTTTAATGAAAGCATATTTTTCTAAAATACAGATGTTGATTTATTAATTTTTATTGAAATATTTACATTGCCTTGATCAACTCTACAATTGCAAAACAATTAGATTTCTTTTTTTATATTCGAAATGGTCTTGATTCATTATTTGAAAATACAACCACTTAATTTAAATATTGAAAATACTAATTAACACGTCACACATTAATATGGTCCAATTCGATCTTTCGCTTTTGGTTGACAATATATTCTGTGGCACCCAAGCGGTGCCTCTTCCTTCTTCATAGAGGTCAACTGAGTTCAACTTAACCTCAACCTTCAGGATAGCAGAACTTGTCTTATATGTTAAAACATAAATACGCTCATTTCTCAGAATTTCCAAACTCTGGTATTTTGTGGCTCAATGTGATCTAGCTCGAATAATAAAATGAGTGAGCAAGCTATAAATGAGCTGGAGGCGGCTGCCCAAATAATAATGGTAATTAATATCGGATTAAGGTGCAAAGAAGGAATGCATAAACAATGGACTTTATTTTTAGGCTCCTCCAAATATCGTCTCGAATGAGCAGCGGCATCATGCCGAAGTGATTTTTCTGAATTTTCGCAAAAGCAAATCGCCCTACGAAATATGCAGGCAAATTCTGGAAAAATGTCCCAACCAATATGTTATGTTTGAGTCTGCAGAAGTCCTAAAAGAAGCTATTATCAGGGAATGGTCGTTTTTAATGGAAAATGATCGGTAGGAGCTGAATTTGGACAAAATGATCAGCAATTTATTTAACATTTAACACACCATTTGCGTTATTTGTGAATTACAAAACATCTTGTTTACAGCATTTTTTTATAGAAAATTTTCAACTTTACAGAGTATCATTGAGGCAGTATTTGATGCATTACATAACCACTCGCCAAGTGCCGCATTTTGTACGGGATAGAATCCTGCAAGTAATTGCCATTATGGTAAAAAGGGCTAGCATTGACGACAATGGAAGAGAGCGCGGTATCATTCTGCAGGAGGTTGAAAATCTCATTATGAATGCCGAATCGAATAGGGTAAAGACTTTAGAGTCAACCCCCAAAGCAGCCCTAATGCAGCGCTAATTCATCTAACATTCCAGAAACTGCTTGGCTGCTACATTATCGCGAACTTAATGCAAGAGTATGCCAGCACTGTAAAGTCTACCGACGTTGGGCTTCCATGGGAGGTGCATTTTAAAGCAAAGAAGCARTTTGAAGCAACGGATCTCAAGCGAATCTTCCAATTTTGCGTATATTTGCTATCAGAAGTGGTGAAAAACGATCCKCCTTACAGCGACATCGTCGTCCAGCTAACCAGGCATTTGTTGCAAATCACTGAAAGAGTGCTCACCTGGGGCTACGTCTCGCCAATTCATATCCTTTTTCATATATACTTTTCGCATTTCCATCATTAGCGAGCCATTGAGCTTTCCTTAATCACGTAATTACTACCCAAAAGGCTGATTGGTATCTACGAGTCCGTGCATGAGTCTGATCAAGCCCCTGCGTTGAGACTGACCAATTCGTGGTCGGAAATCATGTTCAATCCCGATCTGGTGCCTCTAATGTTCCAAATATATTGGAAGGTAAGTTGGTCGGTTTTGCCATTTACTTAATAACTATTGTTGCTATTTCTTCAGCTCAGAGACATAGATGAACTATCGCACCATTGCCTAAATTGCCTGGTTCAACTGGCGAGCCTGAGCGGAGGCATCACGATTAACAGCGAAGCTCGTCTGAAGTACTTACACAGCTATTTGGGCAATTTCGTCAATTTGTTATCCAAGTAAGTGGCGCATATTAATTAATGTAAACCGACCCGCTTAACGTATGTTCTTAGTGTTACCATCAGAGAAAAAGAATCCCTGGGAATCTCAAACATTGCTAGAAAGCTAGTGTTGTTTTTCATCAATGACTTCAGCAATCTTCCAACTCCGCTTCAAGAGACGATAATGGACGAGTTCACTCGGATAACGTGCAACTTTGCTGAAGGAGCCGCTCGAGAAGATGCTGTAAGAGGGGCGGCGAATACTTAGTGGAAATCATAACAATATGATAACTTTTGTAGAATCCGGACGAAGAGAAGTATTTTTCCGATTCTTTAGAAAATATGCTCGAAGCATGGACAACGATAAGCGTCGAATTCTCATCCATATCCGAAGAGCTACATCAGTCTTGTGCTACGCGAATCTTCAATAAATATGTGCAGTGTCATCTAGCACAACCTGATGGAATTCGAAGTCTTAGTTTAGAGAATGGACGTATGTATAGAATATTCTAATATAGTACGCTCTTAAGAAACATCTGATTTTCAGACAATTGTGATGAAGATCTAGAAGACAATGACCGCACTAAGTTCAAGGAGCAGCTGCAAATCATTGGCTTGCTTGGGAGGACCATTCTACCGCATTCGCTTCCAGTTTTGTACAAGTAAGTTTTACTTTGCCTTACGTTGCAAGGATAAATGGTTTCTGTTGAAGAATTTTAGAGTCTCGTACCGAATCTTTGCTACACATGCTGCCAGTCATGCAACAAAGAGCGATGAACTTAAATGAGGCTGCATCATTGGACGGGGTGTTTGAGGATGTACACTGGGCGGTTCTGATCGCCGGCCATTTGCTCTGTATGGAAAGTGATGGGGAGCTGGCTCTGATCCCCTCAGAAATCAACAATCACTCCACCGAGATGGCGAAGAAAGGAGCAACTTGCGCAGATGCGAGTATAAAAACTCTGAGCATGGCAGACGCCAAGGTATTTCCATTCAGTTCATTTCCGGCGTATAAAATATCAGCAAATTTTTCAGGTGCAAGTTCCTGATTGTTTGGAGCAATGCGACCCAGTCATAAGAATCGCCTACAGTGTGTTGCGTTTGGCCTCTATAGAGGAACTGGCGATTTCAATGCGGCAGGGCCATTTTATGAGCCCTGAAGTTGGCTCTACTTTGATGTGGTTCTTGAAACGATGGTGCCTCAATTACTTATTGCCGCCTGAAGAGTTTTACCAACAAGTAATAGGGGATACTTACAAATGCACACAAACTAATCACTGTTTTAATTGTTTGTTCCAGTTAAGAATAAGTCCAGTCATTTTAGCTTGTTTCGGCCGCGATTCCGAGTGCAGTAAAATGTTTATTTCTGTGATCTTGCATAAAATTGCCGTAAACCTCTACAGTTTCCAATCCGAACCAATTCTCCTACGCGACACCGTACAACTCTTTAGCGACATGGTTTCCAGCAAGCAAAAGTAAGTCGGTTTCATTGGTCAATGAGAGTTAATGTAATCTGTGATTACGTTTTCAGATCTATCTACATAATAAAAACGGACTCTATGGCAAAACTCATCAATCTGACTGAGCAAATGGAGGCTGGAACGCTTCCTCCAAATATTTTGAGAGGCATCTACAAGGGCATAGTCACGGCTGGTGAGAATGGGCTTTTTCCCATAAACAACAATGCAATTTAATCGGCAATTTTTTGCTAGGTATATGTTTGACCGATCCCGATGAGAAAAACACGTATTACCAAAGGATATTAGAGCCTCTAAAGAATAAATTCAAAGCCGTAGTTGGACAGGAAAACCTCGGCAGAATGTGTGAGAATGAGCAAGTGCAAAAGGTTGTGATCGATTTGCTGGAGAGCTTCATTGGGGTGGCGAGAGGTAAATTGGATTATGTCTAGTGAATATTTGATCCATTGATCAAACTTTTTTCGTTTTGCGAAGGTTCCTTAGTGGCAACTGTGGAAATTTTGTTTCCTTTTATGTGCCCCATTCTATCGGAGCTGCCAGTATTCCTGACCTTTTTCAAAGACTACCAAGTGATTGTGCAACTAATTTTGGAGCTTTTCGGGCAGTGTGCCAAGTCGATCTTGTGCTACTTGGCCCCGTCGGATAGCAAAAAGTAAATAATTTTTGACGCTTTTGATAACACATGATGGGTTTGTGTATTCTAGATTATACGAAAGTGCATTGGCTGCCGTCCAGGCCTATGCAAAGTACAACACTAACCGACTATCAACTGAATCCTTTGCTGAAGAGAGCAGTTGCCAGGATTTAAGTCTTGTGTTGGACTTGCTGACCTTTATATTGGCCAAAGACTGTGTGGACTTGCATGTTCGCAGCGGCGAAGAGGAAATTACGGTATTATTATCTATAACCAATTATTTTGAGTGTTTTTTTATGACGTGTTTTATCAGGTTACTGCTTCCGATGTGTCTCTCTTTGGGCTCAAGTTTATAATGCCGCTCATGACATTGGAGCTGTTGAAATTCCCCAACTTGTGCGCCCACTTCTACCGGCTTCTGGTCCTAATCAACGACATCTACCCGGAGAAAATCGCCGCTCTTCCTCATGACATGATGGTCAGTCTGCTGCAAAGCATTGAATTGGGGCTCACCAATTTCGGCACTGATATCGTACAAGCGTGCCTTGACTTCGTGCAAGGTAAAACCGATCCGCGAATGGAAATCGCTCTCCTGCTCACTCAACTATTTTCGACTTGCAGGAATGGCCTGCTATTTGTTCAGGCACAGCAATTTCGACACGCCATTTGCAGTTGCGTTGAAACCGTTCCTGAAGCTGCTGATGGATCTGGTGCTCTCCCATCAAATCAATTCGGATTTAATCAGCTGTTCCTCTACGACAATTTATTCTCTCATTTGCTGCTATCAGGATGAGTATCAAGCGCTGGTGCAGAGTTTAATTCAAAGTCAGACTGATCCAATGACTGCTGAAAGGTAAAGTGGGTTATTAAACGGTTCACTAAGACTTATTGTTGTAAATTGCAAATGTATTGAGAGCATGGCATAGTTTTTGCAATCATAGCGAAAGTATCTTGTTTAAGCCCATTATCCTGCTCATAATGAGTATTTGAAGATTATAAATCTTCTCTCTCTAATCTTAAAATATATAATATTTATGTATGTTACAGGTTGGCAGCAGCCTTCAACAATCTAACGCAGAACGTTGCGTTAAACTGTGAAAGACAACCAAAACTAAAGTTCAGGGACAACTTTGACAAGTTTATTGCAAACGTGCATGGATTTTTGTTAGTTAAGTAAATGCGAAAATGGATGAATTAAGCGGGCGTTAAATGTGGTCGTTTTTCGTTTGTGTGTAGACCGGTTTAATTGAATTAAGTGCATTAATTTTCATTCGACTTGTTTGATGTATTATTATATGTTAAGTCGACCTACTGTATGAATTCGTTGATAAGTTTTATTCGTTTTTAATTAGTTGATCGTTTATTTATTGCAGTGTAGCGATATTGTCCGTTTGTTTTGATAATTGGGAATTAATTTCATTCCTTTGGGCTTCCAGGTCAAAAGAAGGGTTTGATTTTTTCAGATTTATTGCAATGGCTTTTTGCGGAATTATCTTCTTTTTATTTGTGAAGTTACTTTCACGTCCAGTTCATTTGCCTTCCGTTTAGTAAAATCATCTTTTTCTATCAAATATTGCCAGCAAACTTTTATTTTGTTAAACTGCTTTAGGAATTGTCTAGGAACACTAATCGAAGATGGAATACGTTCAAAGAACTTATGGAAAGGTTGTACATATCGTGTTAGTCTAAGACAAATTAATTTAGTGTTTATACCATAGTGGCTTTTATGTGAAAGGCTGTATTTTAAACAAGCTCTAAATGTGTTTAAGGAAATTGCAGAAAATATATAGAAGACCAAGTAACGTGCAGTTGAAATACCCGAAACTGCCATAAATCCTTGAAGTTTTAAATGCAAAAAATCACGTGTGTTACTGTAATGTAGAACTCCTGCGCCTTCGGTACTGAGTCCCAGAGTGGCCTTTTCTAAGCTTTTAAGGTAAAACTTCCAGTAACATTGCTTGTTAATGAAATAGGTTTCATCGTAACAGTAACAAGGCCATTCCGTTATCCAGAACATAATAGAATCTGACGGATGACGAGAAGCTTCGCGTTGTGAGATAAATTAGCAAAATCTAATTAACAGCTCTATTGTGCCGGGAATCGCAAGATTCGCAAATCGGAGAGTATGTTCGCGACGCCGAGGGCCGGGGAAAATTAGATGAAAGGGGTCAAGTATCCAGGAGAGGCACTCGAGTAATTTATATTTATTTCCATATTTAGATATAAGCACCATTTGTTTAATTAAAGCCCCATTTATATTGCGTAATGCGATTTCTTACGTGTCCAGGACGCTCGCCTGATTGGGAACCGAACCTTGATTAACTGCGAAGTGAACACGTCGGATCTACTTTATGGTGATGATTGATGAGACTATCAGTCTGCTTCACATCCAGAACTTAATTGGACTTCAGACACCAACTTTTAATAACTTACATCGTTATGACACTTTTAACAACTCGTCCATTGGCTTGAAATTGCGCCTGATATCCGGGTAATGTGAAATTTATTAAGTTCGTATAATATAAGGAACATTTTCCGGCATTAAAGTTTCGCAACTTCGTTGACAGGCAATACGTGCAATTGAGTTTCATAATCACTGTTCATTAAATTGTCGCGTTTAGTTCAAAAACTATTCTATTTTGTTATATTAATTAATAATATTGGGGCTAACTTCTAAAAATCCTGTTAAACCGCACTCGTTTTTACACTTTTATCCATCCACACGTAGAGGTGAATAGATCCCTAATAAAAAATGCATGGATTATTTCATAACCCAACACGTGAAGCCCCTAATTGGCACCATGAATAATTAAAAAGCGATCCTAATTTGCGACGTACGAATTCTGAATTTCTTTTTTCGGCTCCATTTCGAACTCGATGAACGAATTCCTGTCGTCTTTAAATATTCATATCGCAACCTTTTTTGGGAAGTGTTCAGTTCAAAAAGGGTTGATTCATTAACGGTTAACTAATATGTTATGCATTTGCTGGCCGTTTTACGTGCCCTTTTTACGTTCGAATTAACTAGATTCCGTGAGAAAAAACATGATGGATTAATTCGGTTTTAATTGGTGAGTTTCCACCGGGATATCAATCAACTTTCGCATTTTTTTCGGCTTTCAAAGGTGATCTTTAAAAACCGTTTTAGCTCGCCGTTGCGCTACTGAATCTAAACTGTAGCCGTCAATTGAATGACCCGGAAAATCGGCAAAATTGGATAGTTTTCGAGTGAATGAAGTTCAGTTTTTCTAAGGATTATTTGTCAAAAACAGGTTATTTATGGTTGATGATTCGGATTTTTCTGAATTATGGATCTCACGATGATCTCACGATGATCTATGATCAGATTTTTGTCGTTGAAGAATACTGTTTTTATTTTCGGTTTTTTTGCGAAAAACAAGTTAAGGTAAAATTTTAGGTGTTTTCCAATTAATTCGGTATTTATTTTAGTTTAGGTTGTTTAGTTTTTTAGTTTGAATGGTGTTTTTTCATATGTAGCTCTTTTGCGCCTCAAATTTTTTGAACTTGATAAAAAGAATAAGCGTTTGCTTACATTAAAATTATGAAATTATTTTTTCTCAGTTAAATGCCCAATGTTTCTGGCATATTTTGTGCAAAATTTAATTCGTTACTCGCTTTTATGCGTTTTATATACGCGCTTGATATGCTGCTTTTCTAGATAAAGTTTTTACTACAAAGAAATAAGCGTTTGCCTGATAAAAAATCAAGGCGAATTTTTCACACTGTTTTGTTCATTATTTCGAACGAATCCTGTATACGTTTCAAGTTGCTATTTGCTCTAATTTGTGACTTCTGAATTTTTTGAAAATATGCTTATTAATGTTTTGCATAGAAGGTTTAAGACTGCGATTGTATATTTTGTAAAAAATCTGATTTTGTCCGCTTCTTCGCCTTTTATATGTTTTGTGAAAATTTCAAGTCGTTAGTTGCTGTACTGCGCGAACTTAAAAATTTTGACCGTGGATTCGTCATTGTTTCCTATTGTGTTTTTGTTCCTGCCGTTGAACGGCTTCTGAAAAATCAGATGTTTCCTTGACTGAGATAAATTTTTCTCGGCTGATTGTTTCTTGTTTTTACATACTCTGAAGAAACTTGCTCTATGTTGTGAGTTTTAATTTCTTTTATATTTTGGTCTTTGTTCGGGGTTCATCTTTCAGATCAAGGTTGAAGAGCTTGCGAAAAATCAGTTTTGGTCCGGATTAATAATCGTTTCTCAATTTGTTTATTCTTGTTTTTAATAGATACGATTTGCACTATTTTCAAGCTACAACTTGCAGTAGTTTTTGCCTAAGGGTTTCTCAAGCGTCTAAAAATTTGCATTTTGCTGGATTTGAGTGAATTTTTCCCCGTTTTTTATTGAATGTTCAGTTCAAGCTGTTAAAGTTTTAAGCCGCTTCGTCTCTTAGTTGATAAGTTCTTATTTTTTGAGGCAGCAAGTAACTTTGCTCGTCCTTTTTCATCAGCACTTGTCTGGATGATAGGGCGTTTTTTTCAGGTTGTTGCTTCTGGTTTTTTATGTTTGCGATATTTTTGCTTATGATTTATTTCCGTATTGTTCTATTTTACACATGTTACACAATGTTTTACATTTTTTGCTGGTTTGCGTTGTTGGAAATAGCGTGATTTTTCGTCAGTCAGTTTCATATTGACTCTTTTCCTTCATCCTTTTCCTCGGGTTTTTGCAGCTTATTTTTATCGTTCTTGTAGACATTTCATTCCGCTGTACTTTTTGTAGTTCTTCAGTTGCAAAGAACTTAAATAAATGTGCAAATAAAATAGCTAGACGAATAAACTATCAGAAGTTTTAGGAAAAAAATCGAAGACAAACAACGGAGCTCAACCAACTCAGCGGTTTAGTTTCGTGTTAATTGCATTTTCCCACTAATAAAGTTCGAGTCCAGTTGGAAGTTTATTTGAAACTTTGTACGTTGCTGATAGTGCATATGCAGATTCGATTACATACCGAGCGAAGCGCATATTTGCAGAAAAAAGACACTTTTAAGAGAAAAATGCAATCAATTTTATGTTCAGATCAGTGATTAGTTGGCGGTGAAATCCGTTCAAAGTGTCAGTTGTCAATACGAATCAAGTGTCACTATTTGGCAGTTGTAAATCCACCTCAAGTGTCACTGTCAACGAATGACACCATGTCTGGATGCAATCCAGTTACAAGTAGGTGGAAATGAGATGATTAAGAATGAAAAAAACATAGTATTGTAGGATGGAAAACGACCTTAAAAGGGTTACGGTTTTAATTTATCTTGGACTTCAACGTTAAGTGGTAAAAAAGATATGTTCCCGTCTATCTTGCTTAGTCCACTGGCAAAGCAATTTCCGGTTTAGCCGACCCTCCATTACAGAGGCAGCATTCAGGCGAGCGTATTCAAATTACAAATTCGCAAAATAATAATTAGATTTGCACTAATTTCCAGTAACTAACAGTGGCGTAGAATCAGCAGCTTCTATTAATGGAAGTATATACTTTAATTAAATCTTCATGTTGAATGTTTTTGTGATTTAATTGAGGATTTTTGGGCTCTGGGCAATTTGCCTGGAAATTGAGTAGCTTTCGATCAATATTCGGTTTATAATTCGGGTTATAATCAGCTAAAAAAGTCAATTTTCTATTCGCGAGTTCAACTACCGATGGTGGGGCTGCGAAACGTCAAATCACTCGTTGCCGAGTGACAGTTGAAACTTGTCAGAATTGTTTATTTATTGGAGTTGGTGACATTTATAACATAAAGCAAAACAAATCACAATCAGATTGAAACACCAATGTGTCACCAATGTCAACAAAGCAAGTGTCAAATTACTAGTTAATTTGTAGTTATAATTTTAGCCACCAGGAGGCGTCTGGACTTTTGAATGCGCGAATCGCCTTTCTTAAAATGTGAAAAAACAGCCAACCAGCGAGTGTTTTTTTTGTAATTTATAGTTGAAAAGTATCGTTAAAGATATATGGGCTTTGGATCAAACATTGCTTTATACGGCAATGCAATTTGAGTTGGCCAAACGGCCTGCGGCTTAATGCGAACTATACAAGTAATTTAAATTGTGTCCGGGTCTTTAGGGAAATCTCGTTAAGGACCAACAGATGAATATTTCAGCACCTTTAACTTTTCATGCGGTTTTAATTCGTTTTATATAAAACATGCCCTTGGTCGATTATATGAAATGTCTGATCAAACATGGGTTTGAAGACTCAGTTGCAATATTTTCATGGTTATTCCTCATGCAATTTTTCTGGGAGCGTTTCAACTTGAGCACTCGCTTCCGCTATTAATAAGCTAATAAATCTCGCTGTGATGTACATGAACATTTAAGCAAAACCCGGTTTTCATCGCCCTTAAGTTGACATTTACTGGCCCTCATCAAAGGTTAATCCGGGTTTTGTAATGCGAGTACGTGATCTTTCACTTTACCATTTGTTTTCCTTTTATCGAAAATTTCATTTTTTTAAGTTTTTAAACAACAGGACAGTTTACAGTTTATAAATATCTCCTTGTTACGTGCATGTTTTAATATAAATTGTACAACGTTCGGACGTGAGTAGAAAGAGGCGAACGCCACATAAAGAAAAACCATATTTGCATATTTTTACTTTTTCGAGTGGATTAACATTGTTGGACAGAACTTTGTCTCTTTGGCAGTCGCTCAAGTGTTAGTAATTGCATTAGTAACATACAAAGTACACTTATTTGCGCCAATTTTATTTTTGCGGCGATTTTCTTTGCTCTTATTTCTAGCAGTGAATTTCAACATTTTTTTGACGACAAACGTTTCTTGATTTTTGCCCAGATGAAGCGATTTAGAAGTTTTTGGCATATTGGGTTTTTTCATAATGGTATGATGAAGCAACAAACCGAGAAAAAACGTTCTCATTCAGAGATTTTGCTTTTTTGTATGTTTTAAATCTTCAACTGCAAAGGAACGCAAAAAATTACTTGCTGGCCCAAAAAATTACCAATTAAGAAACGTAGCAGCTTGAACTCAAAACATTCAATAAAAACCGAGAAAATTTCGCTCAAATCCAGCCAAATGCTAGTTTTTCGAAGCTGTTGAACCTTATTTGGAGGGAACCCCATACAAAGCGCTTGCTAACCCCTAGACACAAATGTAAAACAAAAAAAACTGCTTTAAGTTGGGACTTGAAAATGTTACAAATCGCACTGAAACAAGAATAAACAATTTCAGAAACAATTAGTCAAATCAAATCAAGATCAAGACTGATTTTTTACAAACTCTTCAACCTTGACTTAAGACCAGAATATATTCAAAAATAGAGGAAGTAATTCTTGAAATTTCTACAGAGTATATAAAAGACAGGAGACTACCAGCTGATGAAAATTGATTTTATTCCAGATTAAATCTGATTTTTCAGAAGCTGTTCAACTCTTGTCTAAAAGACGATATATGAAACATTGGCAAAAACATGTTCAAAAATTTGAAACTCGCCAAGTATTAAGAAAAATAAAAGGCAATAATTTTTTATAATTTTATTCTAACGGCGATGTTGTTTTATTCAATTTCTAGTAGTGAATTGCAGCATTTTTATGATTAAGACAAAAACAATTTTTCATAATGGTATGAGAAGATGAAGCAACCAACTGAGAAAAACTCTCTTTGAAAAGACAAAAAACTTTGCTTCCAGAGTTTCATTTCCTTAAGACACGAGGTTTTTGTACCTTTATTTTTTCGATACTCACTCACTTCAGTTATTGAAAAAGGTGCAAAGAAAATTGCTTTATCTAACAAAAATGAAATCTTGTTCTTCAAACACTCGGCAATATTCAAAAAAAGATTTTCGATTAGTGAAGTTTTTAGTCAAGTCTACGCATTTTCTTGAGCCAACAACAAACGAAATTCTGTTGTTTTCTGAGCTTGATTGAAAAACGTGCAAAGAAAATTGCTTTATCTGACAAAAATTAAATCTTGTTTCTCAAAAACTCAGGAAAATATTCGAAAAAGATTTTCGATTAGTGAAGTTTTTAGTCAAGTCTTCGCATTTTCTTGAGCCAACAACTAACGAAATTCTGTTGTAGTTTCCTGAACCTGATTGAAAAACGTGCAAAGAAAATTGCTTTATCTGACAAAAATTAAATCTTGTTTCTCAAAAACTCAGGAAAATATTCAAAAAAGATTTTCGATTAGTGAAGTTTTTAGTCAAGTCTACTCATTTTCGTGAGCCAACAACTAACGAAATTCTACTGTAGTTTCCTGAGCCTGATTGAAAAACGTGCAAAGAAAATTGCTTTATCTGGCAAAAAGTAAATCTTGTTCTTCAAAAACTCACGGAAATATTTAAAAAAATATTTTCGATTAGTGAAGTTTTTAGTCAAGTCTACGCATTTTCTTGAGCCAACAACAAACGAAATTCTGTCGTAGTTTTCTGAGCTTGATTGAAAAACGTGCAAAGAAAATTGCTGTATTTGACAAAAATGAAATCTTGTTCTTCAAAAACTCAGGAAAATATTCAAAAAAGATTTTCCATTAGTGAAGTTTTTAGTCAAGTCTACGCATTTTCGTGAGCCAACAACTAACGAAATTCTACTGTAGTTTCCTGAGCCTGATTGAAAAACGTACAAAGAAAATTGCTTTATCTGGCAAAAATTAAATCTTGTTCTTCAAAAACTCACGGAAATATAAAAAAAAATATTTTCGATTAATGAAGTTTTTAGTCAAGTCTACGCATTTTCTTGAGCCAACAACGAACGAAATTCTGTCGTAGTTTTCTGAGCTTGATTGAAAAACGTGCAAAGAAAATTGCTGTATTTGACAAAAATGAAATCTTGTTCTACAAAAACTGGGAAATATTCGAAAAAAGATTTTCGATTAGTGAAGTTTTTAGTCAAGTCTGCGCATTTTCTTGAGCCAACAACTAACGAGATTCTGTTGTAGTTTCCGGAGCCACAATTTCAACATCGCTAATATATTTACAAAAAAACTGATACAGAACTGTTTGCCAAATTTCCCTAAACTTCCCCAGTTCTAATACATAACACAATAAATTATCCCTTTTATCACGCGAATTTGTACATATAGGATATCTATCAGGATGTTTATGTAGACACTTATGGCTTATTTTAATCAATGAAAGGTAGATGTGCCTGCGACCGAATAGCCCTCGAGGGACGTTTCGTATGTAAAGTCCTAAAACCGAAAATGGATATCGGGTAACGTGAAACGACATTTCAATATATCGGAGACATTGGGGATAATGATCGTAAACTCCCGAGTACACATCTTATTCGCGTTACTTTATGGGGCATTTTCCTTATTTTTCGGCAAGTTATTTCATTGCATCTGGCAATGAATGGATCGTGATCGGATGACTGTATTTATTTATGACTAGAACTTTGGTAGTTCTGCACGAAATTGGGCTCGCAAATGGTTCATCGATTCTGGCAAAAAATTCGCTAACGAAAAATGTTATTACTGTTTCCAATGCAAAGTACCTACCGACAACTCGTTACAAAATACATACTTAAGTACATACTTTGAATGAAACCTAATCCAGTCCGAAGGATTTACAGTTAAAAATCGCACCATTTCACCTAATACCGTGCTTAAAGTTGATTGATGACTTTCAGTTGTGCAGGTGATCATCCAGCTATGGGATTTGCTGGTAATTCCTTGGCAAATATCGACCTAAGATGGCTTAGAATAATCTGGGGCTGGATTTCGATGACGCAGATAATTGAGTATTTATAAAAACTCCGTGATTAGCATCGGTCACACGACTTGAAATCATGAAGTTGCTGGCATTGAGCGTGCTGGTGCTTCTTTGCGGGCTCCTCGAGGTCCAATCCGAGGGCTATAATGGGTGCGTAAGAATCTTCTTCGTTTATGACTCCTTACTCAAGCCAAAATCATTTGCAGCTACAAAGTGTACCAGGTGACGCCCAAAACCCTCCAGCAAGCCGACATTCTTCACCAACTCCATGAAGATCCAGAGTTCGACTTCTTCCAAGATGCCAAACTCCTGGGGCAGCCAATGAGCATCATGGCCTCTCCAAGGGTTCAGCAGTACTTTGAAACCACCTTGGCCAATCTCACTCACGAAGGTTTGGACTACACAGTCACCACGGAGGATGTACAGAAGTTTGTAGAAATGTTCGATCTAAAAACCTACTTCTACCCCGGCTAGTTTCCAGGGTGCTTGATGAAGAATATGCAGACTTTGTAAGAAGAAACGCCAGTAGACAGGCGGGAGCACGAGCAGTGTTCGATGAGTACATTTCCCATGCCGAGGTGAGTTTGGGGGAGTTAAAGTGATAGTTGAGTTGTGGTTTGATTCGTAGGTGTTGGCCTATTTGGAGCGTCTGGAGCGTGAGCATCCTGAAATAGTGAGGCTGGAATCGATCGGTCGCTCCACTGAGGGAAGGGATTTGCTTTTGATTCAGTGAGTGTGTTGAAAGTTTTTTTAGCCAGTTAAGGCTTTTATCTTTAGTGCTGACCTATGAGTAAGCCTGGGTGGGGTGGAGGATTATTTACCTGAGATTAGTGAATGAGAAAAAAAAGTCCGCTGAAAA